AATGAACACTCAAGTCCATAAATGGGACAAACAAGATGAGAGGAAATAATATTCATAATTTAAACAGTTAAAACAATAAAATTCTATTCTAATGGTACAATGGACTGTGAACTTACTTAGTATTAATTAAACTCAATGTAATGGCATTTTCTATATTGGAATGAATAACCAGTGATCTGGAAATTCATTTAGACCATTAGGTTAATTACAGAAACCGATGGAAGTTTTATCAGACAATTACAATTAAAGAACACGAACAATGTGGGACAGATTTATAAGCATTTGTACCACCTCAATCATTTTTGCTGACTTCCACCACCACTTCTTCCAAAACTGTAATCGATATATCAATTAAAAAATGGGCCATCAACTTCATTTGCCCTTGAGTATGATAAAATAAAATGAATTAATATCGGATTTTACATTTTCATATTTTTCTTCTTTTAATTCTATCACTTGATTGCAGTATGAAAGATTTATTTAGGAGCTGATAAGCAGGCTTACTGAAGATGAAACAACTCTAACTCTAGGAAATCTAAGCCAAAATTTACTTCAGTTTAAAATGTACTCATTGAAGTCAAGGTAAAATTCTCTTTTATGGGCATGCTAAACATTTGGGAAATAGAGGTGTTCATATGCACATCATTCTGAACAAAGGCATGGAGAAACTTAAAATATTTTACCATACATGTGAGCTACCCATGTAGCTAACAGTGAACTATCCCTTCAACGTGTCCTCAGAAAAATCCACTAATAGTTACACACTCAATAACTCGAGTATCTTAATGCTTACTTGGAGCTAAAATAAAGCCTTCAAGTTTCAGAGATCAAAGTGCTGATTTAGAGAGTAAAAAATATTTAGCTGCCTTTGAACTTCCCTTTAAATTTTAAGTTCCATCTCTCTCCCATTGCCCTTCACGGGGCCTGGGCTGGCACATCTGGACATTCCTGAGGGATGGGATGGGATGGGATGGGATGGGATGGGATGGGATGGGATGCAGAGATTCCTCCCCACACCAGCAAGGGCTGGGCCAGCCCAGGAGTGCTGGGAGCCAGGCCAGAGCACAAGGATTTCTACTGGGATTGCATCTCCTCTTCCATACCCTGCCACAAAGGACAGGGACATTACCAGGGGACAGAGCCAGCACAGGCTGGGAAGACAAGGGACAACAAACAGGACTGGCAACAAGAGAGTTTCCACTGCCAGGACCTTCAGCCATGGGAACAGATGGCCCCAGAAAATGGTGCAATCTCCACCTTAGAGGTGCTCTGGTGCAACCTGGTCCTTCCAACCTGAATTCCTTTACAATTCTACAAGTTCGTATCTTCCTTGTTCCCCTTGCTTTGACTCTCATGAGCTTCTACTTCATTCACATTTTCAAGCACTTCTGCATTATGGAAAAATGGGGGGAAAAGAGGCACAAAACAGTTTTTAAAAGTTCTTGCATAAATTCAGATCTGTACTTTTGCCTTTTTGAACCATACATACCCAGCTGTTTTACTGTCCTTGGTGGAACAGTGATAGAGACATTCAGGGACAGAATTTTTTCTCTTCTTTTGAATCTTCCTTTTGTCCTGAAGGGTCTTAATATTCTCATGGATCCTACTCATGTGTGGCTTCAATTTGGAAAAGTTCCAAAACTATTCTTGACACATTTCTTATTTACCGGTAGATATAAATGTCTTCAGGATTTTAAAATTCCCTGTGGAAGAAACTATTCTAAAGAAGTGAGGGTAAAAACAGACTGTCAGTTATGTGCATCCAAACTGTTTCATTTACTTTCAGTGAGATATCCTGGGCCTCTAGGAAGATTCCAGTGAATGCTGACTCACTGGGATTTGGTGAACTCCAATCATTCCTGGCTGGATAGAAATCCTTTCAATACTTGTCTGCATCCTGCATTATGGCAATGATGAAGGATTTAACTGAAATCTGTTGTACCAGTTCTGCCCTGGAGATGCCAAAACTGATATCTATTGTATGAGTTCTGCCCTGGAGATGCCAGTCCTGTGGGAATCTATAGCAGCCAAGGTTTCCTGCCTGGATTTCCTGGCTGTGGCTGTCACAGGACCTGTCCCATCCAGGGGTGGGAACACATTGGCATGCTGAAACTTTCCTTTCTACATAAAAAATTATCTGTTCCAACAATAGATGTGCAAATGAAAAACTGATCCAGGTCCCATCTTCTCCTTCAGCATAAGAGAACAGATGAGGCATGAGAGACTATTGCTGCTGATTTGTTCCACTGCTGGCAGAAGAAACAGCTCATTTCTTTCTGTATTATGCGAAGGGCCAGAAGTGATGGAAGGAAGCAGAGCCATGTTTCCATCTCCTGACATATTCAGAGGTGTAACTAATCATTGTGCTGGGAAATGTATAGTGTGATATATAAAATAGATCCTGGAGAAATAAAATATCAGAAGGGAAAGAGTAGCTCCAAGAATTGCAGCCTGCTTTCTGGAGAGCCAGGGGGTAAAAGTGCTCAGAGTCATCAGAGGCTGCCAGTGCCAGTACAATTACAAACCAACAAGTTCAGTGAGAAACAAGCCACATTAGAAAAAATAGCCACATTAAGAAAAATACATCTTACAACCATATTCCAGTCCTTCATGCCTTATAACTCAGGAGCAAAAGATGAACAGTCAAGTTAGACAACACTTTGAAAAATGGGGACTATCCTCTCCCAAATAATCTGAAAACTCTTAAATGCCATTAGCACTCCATGGACTTCAAGTACCTTAGATGGCTTTAGGAAAATCTCAGCAGACTCTTTCCCTTCTGTTAAAACAGTTACAAATTGAAAACCTCTTAATTCTTACATTGTAAGTGGTTGTAAAATATCACAGTTACAATATCAGCAGTAACAGAATAAACGATTAACAAATTATTCAAAAAGGAGGGCTGCAATATTGTTGTCTACATGGAATGATAATAGTACAAGTATTCATCTCCTAGACACTAATGTTGACTTATCAGTTATAATTTCAATATTACAAATGTGCACAAAAATGGAATATAGAAGATCTTTAAACTAATAAAAGAAATGAGACAAAAGTCAACCTTCATTTCTGTTCACTTCTAGTGGAATTTCCTATAGAAATGAAGCTATTTTACATCTTTATTGAAAGTTTTGTAATAAGGAGAAATAAAAAATCTAATTACAATATTTAGTAATTGCAGTAATTTTGTGTTATTAGGAATTGTGGTCCTGTAGGGGAAACTGCATTTTGGCAAGAGGAAATTCTATACATAATAAAGGAAAAATCATGACTTGCCCACACATAGATTCAACAAAAGTGTAATAATTTCTACTGCAAGGGCTACCAGCAATGCCTGTTATGAAACCATGTATTACACATTGCCCAGTGGGAGACAGATAGGCAAAGCTTGTTTATTTATGTATTTGGCATAATTGAAAACAAACAGGTGTTTGTTAGGATATCATTATTCAAGGAGCACCACTGCAAAATAAGATTTTTCAACAGGACTGACTCAGGAGACATAATGGAAACAGTGAACTCCAGAGCTCAGCTTGCTCACAGTGTGTCTGGGGAATCAATATTAGTGGAAATATCATCTGATGGAAACAGCAATCCCAGCAATAAAATTCCTGGGGTATAACTCAGTGAGACAATGGGAGCAACAGGATAAGCTTATGAAAAGCTTTCAAAGAAGAACAATTTTCAGAAAATTATAACAAACACTGTCCCCTCTTCTCTAAAAGAAGCTCCCTAATAGTGCAATGAATGAAATGTTTGGATCATTTTCTAATAAAACAAGCGTCAGTCAAAAAGGAGGAGTGCACTAAAAATGTCCAAAAGGGAGCATTAATTTAAACTGTAAGTAGTTAATATCTCTGTGTTACTACAAGAAGTAAAAAAACCCACTGCTAGGGAAAGGTGACATATTATAAAACATTATTGGAGCACCTGGAAGCAAATGCAGACTTGACTGCCAATTTAACTTGCAATTTAAAACACTTGATGCATGTGGTTAGTGCACTGTGCATTTGTAGACTCCTCATTTAAAGGGGATCCCATATGAATCCTGGAAAAGCAGCAGCTCTCGGGATGCCATTGATAACATTTGAGAAGAGAATTACATGACTGTAGAGATGATCACTATGGAACTCTTTTGTCCTAATACCTGGTTTTAATTTAAAAAATAATTATTTTAGTAGTCTAGATAAGCTCTAAGAGAGTACAAGTGCATTTTGGATTGAATACAATCTTCATAAAGAGCATATCTGATAATGCTGTTAAATCACACCATGTATTTTCTTTACAGAGGACTACAATGAACACAGAGCCAGTTACTGCTTCTGCATTCAGCTCCAGGTGTCTCGTCCCACTAGAGGCCAGAATGAGCATCAGTGGTACCACCAATCCAATCTAAAACACTCTCAGAGGAGATTTCTGCTCAGGATTTCAGAGGAAACATCTCTACTCCAAAGTTTTGTACAGAAAAATGGCTGATGGCAGCATCCATCATGTCAGATTGTCTCTGCTCTTTTTATTAGGGCAGCTTTTTATGGCCCAAAATACCCCCTTTCATAAGGATGTTCCTTCAGTAAGAAAAGACTATATCTAATTGTTTCCTGACCCAATCCAATGGTGGCATGGTAACAGACGTTTTGTGTATTAAATCCCAATCCAACAGGACAGAAGAAACATAACAACTTCTACATGAAATGCAGAGCACACAACAGTATTGGATTCCAAAAACTGGCACTGTTACTGTAGAACTTTACACCATTTCTGCACAACATCGCAATATAGGCAATTTTCTTTTCTTTTTTTTAAATAAAATATACTTTGAGAATAAAGATACAACTGAAAACACTGAATTATCTGTTGACATTACTTACATATGTTTATAAACACCACATTTACCTTAACAAGAGCTGTTGGGAAAGTTGACATTTTTAGGGGGCTAAATTCACATTAATGTGCTTTTGTCACAAAAACAGAACAAGAAACGAGCCATAACACTAGCTTACTTGTGGATGTGTATACTAGTGAACTGGGGGCACTGTACACGGGAGATCCCTCCTGGTTTGCCTGGCACAGCAGCACCCTGCCTACAAGAAAGAGAGAGAGAGTGGTATCTGGTTTTGGAACACTTCAACTAAACCTCAGTTTTCATCTCAAAACAGAAATCAAGTCACAGCTGAACCAGGGGCGCTTTTTGTCCTTTGACTTCAAAGCAGAAAGAGCCCAAATGAGCAGAGTTTGACATTGGCAGTAGCAGCACACAGACATGTCCCCAACACCAAGAGCGCCCTTATCCCGCGGGGATGCGGCCCCGCTGCTCGCCCAGCTGCCCTCTCTGCCTCTCCCAAAACTGCTGCCCCCGGGAGCACCCACCCACCCACCCACCCTGCCCACCCGGCTGCTGCCTCCTCAGCCCCTGCCCATGGCTGCAATGAGGCTCCTGGAGGAGCAGGAGCCTCGTGTGCAGCATCCCAGCACCGACATCAGACCTGGGTTACATCGCTCCACGGGCGCTGTGTGACCACTGACACAGCTGAACTCAGTCTCTTCTGCTCAGGGGAATGCACAAACATATTTGTGCAAATGTATTTCTTTATTACAGTAAATAAGCTGGGTTCAGGATTAAGAATAAAACCAGATAAAACACTTTCCCCCCCCCCCAAAATAATGAAAATAAAAGCAATAACCAAATCCACTTAAATCAACACTTTTACAATGCTCTTTCTGAACAAACGACACAACTTTAAGGTTATTTCTTTTTTTTTTTCCTTTTAAATAAACCTAAATAAAATACATCAAGATTTCTTAAAAATGTATTTTAGCAGTCTTAGATGAATACAGATTGAACATTGATCAGAGGTTGAAATAACTATACTTTCAAACTAGGAAAGAAACTTCTTCACTTCTGGAATAGAGTCCACCAGGAAAAGTGGGTTATGAGACATCTGGTTTTGCAGATATATGTGCATATATCTGTATAAACACACAGAGGATTTTATACACACATACACTGACATGCCTCAAGCTGTCAGGATTCGTGAATCACACAATTCAAAGCCATCAAATCTTTTTGGAGATTTGTGAAACTTTAGATGCTGTGCATTGACATGCAATGGAACTGCACTGAGTTCAGTCCAGTGGGTTTGGAAGGACAGGATTAAGTACAAATGGCAGGCACATTTCCCACATTATTACAGGAGCAATTCTCAACTTCCATTCACCACACCAGCATTCTCTCAAAATATATTTTTTAAAAATGTCTGCCATTAACCAGTTCTTTGATTGTTGCTTGCAGCTGTCACTTGAAGGAGAAATATTGGAAATACTGAAGAGTAATAAAATAATTCCCGTAATTTATGCAATTTAACTAAGACTGACTACTGGAAATCTCATTAATTGCTACGCTTCTAACCTCCCCAGAAAACAGCACACCCTTAACAGGATTTAGAGATGCTTGCTTTTTTCCAGCCATCCACAACTAATATAAAAGATAAAACAGAAAACAAGCTCATTTTCCCCCTTACTTTAAGACAACACATCATTGACTGCAGTGATATCTCTCTCAGCCTTCAGCCCTCGTGTGGAAGCTGCCAAATGAACATGCAGCTATTGAGATCCTAATTACAAGCAGGATTTTCAGGTTAAATACAAAATAAATAAACAAACAAACAAGCCCTAGCCACACACTAGTTTGACCTCAGGAATGTGTACGTTGGAATATGGATGAATTTAACACCACAGATGCTTCAAAACCTGAGCTACTGCAGAAGCCTGCAAATGAAAGTGAGCTGAAGACCCAGAGGCATTCATCCAGCTGAGAGAAACACATTAGGAAAATCAGTCATTTTCATTAGGTTTCAAGAATAATATAACTATAATGACTTCAAGTATGTCTAGAAAACAGAGCAAAAGATTTTTAGAAGGTTACAATTTATTTACATTATTCACCATAAATCCTAGATACCACTTGGCTTCCTCCATGCTCCATAGGTATTTTCCAACTCTTTGTAGCTAAGATTCTTATATGTTTTCTGATTTCATCTCATACAAATCTAATTTTTCCTACTCTAGTCGTCTAATTTCTAATTAAAGTACTTCAAAACAGATGCTTTTTTCATCTCTGCTACTAGAGTGTATTTAATTTCTTGCACAGAGCCTTCTAATTATATTTTGACAATCTGCCTTTGAATTTGTACATAATATTAATACTGATAACTAAAACATTATTATTAGATTTTGTTAGAAAAAAATATGGAACTTTTTAATCTACTTTAGTAAGAAAAGATTATTTCTTCTGCATCTAAATTTGGTATTAAAAGTATTTAAATTGCAATTCATACAACTGAGGGAAGACTGAATTATTTACAGTAAGATCATGGATAAGCCTCTGAATACGGAAACAATATATAAATTTCCCAATGGAGAAAAAAAAAAAAACAACAAACCTAAAGTTTGGTTTTTTCCTCCAGAACACTAAATTCTAGTGTAATGGAATAAAGGATTTTTTTTTTTTTTTTAAAGGAAAGAGAATTTTTATATAAAGTTTTGAGGGAGCAGTGGCAGAGGGGACACTGAGGGGACCAGCCTGGGGCAGGGGCATTGCAGAGACCCAGCCTCACCCCTGGAATGCTGCCTGGCAGCACGGACAAAACCAGATGTCCCAAGATCAAAGATTATTCCCACTCATCCTTCTCTTCCTCCACTGTTTTCTCCTCCAGCCCATGATTAAGAATGTACTGTTTGATGAGGTCCTTTGCTGAAGCACCACAGTTATTTTGAGAAATAATTACTCTAAAAGTATTCAGGACTGTGAAAAAAAATGATGTGCAGTCATTAATATTTTTAGAATACTTAAAATTCAGTTCCCAGGGGTTTCAAGATCTCTGACTAAATGCATTTCCCCTCATCTTTTCATACTTTCAAAAATAAGTTTTTTGTATACAGTTATTTACATGATGCAGATAAACTAATCTACAGAAATACCAACATCCTCGTAGTGCTGCACAGTTTTCACTGCCTCATGTAAAACATAAGTCACTGTATTTCTCAAATCCTCAAAGAGCCAAGAAGTAACACCAAGGGTCAACATCTGAACTCACCCACTACATTATAAAGGATTTTTAAACCCTTTCTGTTAAAAATAGCTGAAAACTGGAGCCACTGGAGTCAGTCCTACAGGCAGCTTAGAAGTAAACATCTGCAATTAGCTAAAAATAATCTATAGAATTAGCTGTAATGTCTCACGGTATTGTTTGAGAAAGTATAAATTGAAGTAACATTTTCTGCAGAAAAAAAACCCATATACCATCAGCTAAAATCATGCTGTTGGTGTAAAATTACAATTGCAAGGCCTTGATTATGGGCCCAGCTCTCTCCTGATGAAACTTCTAGAAAGCTTTCCTGGCCATGGTTTAAAGTTTATATACCATGGCAGAGAGCCTGAGCCTACAATGCACCACCTCACCATACACACAGCATGAACCAAACGTTTCCAGTTTACAGTGCTGGTATTTATTCTCCAAGAACTTTGGTGGGAATTACCAATAAAAAAGAAGAGGACAGATGTTGTTTATTGGGGGATTGCCCTGGGACACAACAAAGTGAGACACGAGGAATGTTCTTCTCACTCCAGGAATCCTAAGGAAGCACAGCTCCACAGAGAGCTCTTGGAAGAGCTGGGAAGTGTCAGTGGTGCTGAGTTCTCACAGCATCCAGCTGCTGCCTTCACAACGAGGGTAAGCACAGAACCATTTTGGGTGGCAGGAACTGAACTCAATATCCAGGGCTGGGCTGCACTGGGTTTTAGTGCACAGGTGGCTAAAATGAGTGTTTGTAATACAGGAACTAAGTAACTTGCTACACACAAGGAGATTTAGTGACGATTCCATGACTCTAATCCATTGTACTCTCAGCTTTCCAGGTAAACCAGCTGCTCTTTACACATATTTTTTCCTATTGTATTACCAAAAGAAGCTTCTTACTGCTTCTCACAACTAAGTACCAGTTCATCCATTCTTTAATACTATTTACAAGCAAAGAAATCCAAACAAAGCCACAGGAAAAAGTGATTAAAAAATGAAGCTGTTGGAGTCTCATTTTGTCAACATTAGTATAAACTATTATTCTAAGAGCCTAATCTAAATTTAAATCTAAGCAAAACTCCCATTCTTTATTGAATTCAGTGATTGTTTTCTCATTTTCTTTTTTTCCCAGTCCAGTTGGATGACATACAGTTCTCCCTGAGTTAGTTCTGATCATTCTGGTCACTCTTTTCCTTTGTGCCTTTTGCAACAGCTATTATTCCTAAACACTTTGGTGTTCAATGCACGAAGAAAACCGTAAAGCTGCAGCTCTCATGAACAAATCAGGAGATTTGCAAGTGTATCAAGGATCCTCATAAGCAATCCATGCTCACTCTTGGTTTGCTGTTCTAAAAGTGCAATTTAATATTGGCATTTTCAGACAGAAATAGCACTATTTTTATTCTGGGCAGAAATATTGTTCTGTGATGGATTATTTCAAAATGTCTCACAGAAAAAGATCAGAAACTCCTAATAAAAGGCTCCTGTTGTGCAGTAATAGTGTATTTTAGCTTCTATTGTCCCTTCTGACTAGGGAATTTAAAGAGAGCCTCTACAGCCTCTCTCTTGAATACATAATAGTAGTTAAGTGCTCTCTTAGCCCTTCAGTATCAATAGTTAAACCACACAGAGTTAGCATGCTTTTAAATATGCTGTTAATTCAAAAAGAAGTGCTCTTTGAGGGCCTTCAGTTATCTGGGATCTCTATAAATTGAATAATAGCCTTCAGATTTTAACACAACCACTCATGGATGGTTGTGTTGATACACTGGATTGTTTCATCCATTATTAACAAGGAAAAAGTAGCATAACCCCAAACCACACGCCTTTCTTCCAATATGCTAAAAATACAAACAAAACCTGTGTTTAATCTCACCAATGCTTATATATAGTTTTACTTAAACAAGAGGGTAGGGAGGAGAATCTAAAGTAGTTGATGTCTAAAGGTGATTTTCCTAAGTCCAAACCATTCCTATATTGCCTTCTGACAGCAAACCTGAAATACA